GAGAGAGGGGGGAGGAGGGGGGGGGGGGGGGGGGGGGGAGAGAGAGAGAGAGAGAGAGAGAGAGAGAGATTAGGAGGAGGCAGGGAGATACATCTTTCTACGCCCTCCTAGTAACCTCCTCTGACCAGGCTTTACTTCCCAACATCACATTTAGCTTTTAATCCACATATGAAGATCTCACTCCCATGATCCAGGAAGCTCCCAGAACCCCACCCTTGAGCTCCTGAGGTGTGTGTGGGGGGTCAGATATAAACCACGAAAGATTTCCATCTGTTCATAAGGGCACAGCTCTCACCATCTACACCTCCTTACATTCCTCCTGCTCATCCCTTTCTTGTGCTTCTTTTACTCCTCTCTCCGAGCCACCACTCACATTTTAATACCACTTTTCTCTTGCCTCTTGCTGCTTCTGTGACAGTGTGGTGTTTGGCTTCCAACTTTCCTTCTTCTCTCAGCTCTTTCATACTTCATCTTGTCATTTTTTTCCAGTATATGTTAAGCAATAGAATGACCTGGTAAATGTTCCTCTTCAAAATTTGCACCAGAGCCCTCAGAGTCATCTTAGCAGTAGCACACATTCTGGAAATAGTTCTTTTACAAAATATTCATATCCTCAGTGCTCTGGCACAAAATTTGCCCATTCCTCACCTATAACTAATCTTTACAATCTTTTGCTTTGTCCTCAAAGGTGTCTTCCAAATTGAATCCATCCATTCTGTTCCCAGTGCCTTGATTCAGATCCTCTTCACCTCTTGGGTGTAGTAACACAGCCAGCACAACTCCCTACATCTGCCTCTCCCTCCTCCAAGCTGTCTTTGAAACAATCCTTCTAAACAGATCTTTGCAAATCTTTCTGGAGAGCTACAAGAGATTCCACTACACGGAGGATAATTTTAGCTTCTCCTGGAAAGCCTTCTACAGCCCATCCTTGACACTAACCACATTACTGTACACCATTCTATGTCCTCGGATCACTTTTGATTCGAGTGGCTGCCCCTGAATATATTTTCCCATTTCATGGTGTCAACTCTGAAGTTCTACTCTACTTTCAAGACCTAGTTGAAATGTGTCCTCATCAAGAGGCATCTCTAGATTTCCTCTCAGCTGGAGTAATACTTTCACACCGCTTCCATAATCGGTTATTATTTCCAAACTAGTTTGCACATCTAAAAACTTTCCACATTTTCTTCATTTTTCTAGTGATCTGTGTTTTTGTCTCCCCTTTCTGAAAAGGCAGAAGTCATGTCATATATTTATTAACTTATTGATATTTTGTGTGTCTATGACATGTCTTTGTAAAACATGTTTTTATAATGTTATCAAGTCCATTTTTTATTAGAGTTACCGCAATTGGATATTAATGTTTAAAACTATTTGAATAAAAAATAATTTATGTGAGGCTAATTTTGTATTGCTTTTGTTTGGTTATAATGGTTACACTCATTCAGGCAGTATTTTCCATTGCCTGCTGTTTCTTCACTACCATGAATAGCAATTCAAAAGAATATATGAGATCAAATTAATGTTTCAGCCATTTTTAACTACAATAGTTTTAAATGGTCTTATAATTGCAAAAACAGCTTGCACAATTGTTTTGCAATTTTTATGTTTAATGAATCATTTCAGTGGTCTAAATTTAGGCATAAAGAATGCCAGGGCTACATTCTACATGTAAAATGTAGTAAAACTCCATCAAAAGACACTTCACTTGACAATCAATTAATTTGTGCTGGGAGTTATATCATATTCCCTCTGGTCCCTGAGACAGTTCTTTTTTTCACTCTAACACTTAAAAGCCACATTAAGGTCAGTTTCTTTGCCAAACCCTGATAATGTGATGTTGTTCTCTATATGAGTGTATCTTCTTTTTCTGAAAATCTAGGTGAACTTTATTATTTCAGTTTTTCAGTTGACGTATAGAAAATGCAACTGAAAAATAGAATGTAAATGAGACACATAAAGCCGTTAGAATCAGGTCTACCTTCAACTGATTTGGGTTGTTTAGATACAAACATGGGCCTGCAGGTAGGCTGGCCTATCTGTCCCCTGAATAAGTAAAATAGATTGTGTTTTGGTAGCTCATCCGTGTTTCTCAGCCCTGAAGACTCATTAGCAATTACCCAGGGAGATCTGAAATAGAAATGTTCAGATTACCTTCAGAGGATCAAATTTAATTGATGATTCTGCTATATAGCTAGGGCAGGGAGTCAGAAATGAAGTTCATGTGACTTGACTTGGAAACTTTTCTTGCAGTATAGTATCATTTAGACACTCAGAGAGGCTTCTTTATTTCATTGTTATCCTACAATTACACAGTGTTTGTGGCAGCTTAGGCCAATTAATTGGAATCCCAAAGACAGTCGATAGAACGAAGGGAAAAGCCAAGGTTGAGAAGGAAAGAAAAAGACCAGGAGCAATCAGCATGGGCGCGCTTGTGTGTTCTGGTTCCACTCAGACCTCCGGATGAGTTCTGGAAACTACAGCACAGTGATCTAGCTTCTGCATGTTACACCCAAATTCGGAGTAATGATAAAGAACTCGTCTTGCAAGAAAAAGCCTATGCCCTTCTAAGCAGCAAAGCAAGAAAACATAATAAATTTTAACAGAGAGGAAGGAGGGGCAAAGAGCTGTAACACTTGGAGAAGGTTCACTCTGCATGAATCCTCCTTGGTGTGCTCCACGAGCTGTGATTCCAGTTGTGAGCCCAGAAATGGGCTCAGACAGAACCACTGGTGATGCTGGTGAAAATCTGCTGTGCATAAGCAAAAATTTCAGTTGAAGCTGAAAGTAAGCACCTGCATACTTTCTTTAATGTAAAGAGTATTAGCTCTGAGTCTGTGACTGCTTTTAGTTTTAGCTTACGTAATGAATCATTCTGTAATTGAGCTTTTCCTTAGAATTAACCAGATTGATTAATCTATGTTTTTTCTGTTAAGACACTTGCAACATGAGGAAAATTGGGCCGTAAGAGAGCAAAGAGAGGCCAGCTGAATGTATGATGAAGCAACTCTATGGGAC